CGAAAATACATAGCCACGCTAAATGAAGGCTTAATAAAGAAAAATGCGGATTCGCGGCGCATCGGGCGTTAATTTCGCTGACCAGTTTGGTGCGGCAAAATATTCGACATCTCGTAAATGTATACGCGGTCCATGGCGTCGATAACCGCGCTCGAGGCTGAAGAGGAACGCGGACAAAACACCCGCCACGTGAATGACAAAAAGAAATTTGGCCACCAGTCATTCCGGCCGCCGATGTTGTTGCGTGTTCAGCGAATTACCTGAATAATTGAGACCGACCGATGTTCTCGCATTTGCGCGACCAACGGTAGTCGCCCTGGCCGATGGACACCGATTGTATTTTTTTTTTTCCGAAACGTCCAGCACGCCGCGCATTTTACGCGTCCTTTTCATTATACATTTATAAAAGCGATCGGAAATTTTACTCTCTCTCTCTCTCTCTCTCCCTCTCTTTCCTTTTTTTAACGGGGTTCAATTTCCCAGCCGAATCACACAATGACACCTCTCTAAATGTAAAATAAATATTCACGGCCGCTGGGAATAATTCAACGGCTATAAAAGTGGATACGCGTTTGATAAAACGCCGTATGAAGAATTCACGGGGGACTTGGTAACAATACTGCAATTGCAACAGCGCTTACATTGGCATTAAAAAATATCTGGAAGAATAAACGTAGATTCTTTTTTAGCGGGCAAAACACAGTAGAGATAGAAGATAAAAATATTTATAAAATATTTCACAGTAGACAGAAGGTAAAAATATTTACAAAATATTTCTTCTATTAAAGTAATTAGTTCAAAATAATTTATATTTATATAAATTTATTTATTTATTATATTAAAATTCTACGTTCATTAAAATTCTATCTAAATACGCTCATCGTTATTTTAAGGGTGACAAGAAGAAAATAAATGTTTGACAAATAATTTTGTATAAATAGAAATATCTATGTTTTTCTAATTTGAAAAGAAGCTCTTTACGCATTATCTTATTTTCACTTTGGTCCTGTCAATGTAATGATATAGAAGTAAACAGAAATCGAGTCACAGTCCCTCTTTCCCCATTTTATCGTTAAAAGCGATAAATCAACAAGGTATTCGTGACCGATTAGAAATCTACGTGAACTCGACCCTCTTTCGAAAAGAGATATACGTGTATTTAAAACATCGCAAAGCCGCGTAACAACATAAAAAGGACATAGGGTGGTCGGCGCGACGTTGAGGGAAGGGAGGACGAAAAGAAAAAAGGGAAAAAACGAAAAGAAGCTACGAGAGAAAAGAAGAGACGAAAGAGAGACATAGAGAGCGAGAGAAAGAATCGACAGAGGGAAGTTGAGAGAGCGAGAAGAGGAGAAGGCGGGTGGAATGTAGGAGGGAGAGAAGGAGAGAAAGGGAAGGCACTCGTACACGTTGAAATTGCCCGGCCATTAACGATACTATGTTATTACGCTTGTCCTTTTTTGCTCCACGGCCTCCACTCGCGCGCGCTCAAGCCGTCGGCGGCCATTTTGGAATATAGGATTGAGAAAGGAAAAGCGCGCAGGGAGAGGGACGAGAAAGAGAAAGAGAGCGAGAGCGAGAGCGAGAGCGAGAGCGAGAGCGAGAGAGAGAGAGAGAGAGGAGCGCATTTTGTCGCGGTCGCGCCGTCTTTCTTCTCTCTTCTCTTCTGCCGATCGAATCGATCTCGTCGAATCGATCGATTAGCGCGAACCGCGAAACGACTTATGCATGAGCGCCAAGTTTATTTCGGGAATTGAAACCGGTGTATTTCGGTGACGTCAATTTTCGGGGAATTGCGCGACGTACGCAAAAACGTAAGCCCGTCAAATTATCGCGTCCACATTGTTCGCGTGTAAACGAATCGAGCGTTTTAATTCGCTGAAAATCTATTTTGCGCCGGTTTATCGTCAAATTGCACGTGTCATTTGAATCTTGCATATTTTTAAAATATGAGGGTAAAGCGGATCTTCTAAATTAACGGGTATCGACATTGTAGACGAGGAAAAGGGAAAACTCGGTGATGATCGAGCATTCGAGCGCCCTTTAGAGCGGCTCGTTCTCTCTCGAGAGGGTGGGGGAGAAAGAGGGGTGGGGGAGAGATCGAGCAGCATTATTAGTCGTTACCTATAATCTCCGGCTCGGTCGCTCTCATCGATATCGATAGTTATTTCGTTTCGACTTTTGACCTACGTCGGGGCCTGTAATCAAGCGTAAATCGTGTCCAGCTCTTTTTTACGAAGCGTTTAAAGACAAAACGATCGTGACGCGGGGAACATTTCCTCCCCGATCTCCCTCTCCTCCTCCTTCTTCTATCTCGCGCGCCCGCTAAACGCATATCTTCCCCCCTTCTCCCCCACCCCCTTTTCCGCTCCCTTCTTCGCAATCTCGTCGCGTCGTTTCTGCTATATGTATGTATTTGCGGTGCCAATTTCCCAAGACCGTCATTTGCCGAGCATTAAATCGTTTTGGACTCCTATTCGCGGCACGACTGATCGTGACTCGTGACCCCGGTCGATTTCGTACGGAACGGAACAACCATCGCCGGGGACTCCTCGCATCGGACACCACCGAGAGATATTTTTTCGGTTGCGAGTATCCAACCGCGCTGACGAGATTTTTCGCGAAAGAAAAAAAAAATCGAAAAAATATCAATCGGATTTATGTTTACATTAGAGGAGATATAATTAATAAAATATAATTAATAAAATAATTAATAAAATATCGCGAGAAAAGTCATGCGCGATAGAATCCTTGGGCGATCGAATTCGCGAATTAATCTCTCGTCTTCGAAAGCGAGGGGTCCCGTGATTCTTACGGCCGCAACTACCATCGGCTTTAAGCCCGTGTGTCGTAAACCTTACCGCTTTATTTGAATTTCAAATGCGGCCGTACAGCCACGCCGAAATCCACGCGGTATCCAACAGCGGGTGGGGCTCTTCTCTCCATCGGAACTTCTTTACGATACTCTACATTTGCTACGATGCTCCCCGCACCCGTTATAATTCGTGAGCATAGAGTAAGGAGTGTCGCATATTTCGAGACGCAAAACCGATACAAATTCAAATACAAATAAATATGACATAAAGAAAGAGAAAATATAAAAAATCAAATTAAGGAGAAAACTGAAACACATCCAATATTTTTTTTAAATGTGACAAACGCATATTACATTTGCTATTTAATATATTTATAAATTATTACGTGATGAAAATATATTTATCGTACTTGAGGATGTCACATATGATTGTCTGATCATCCTGTTTTTGATTTAATATCTTTTCTCTCTTCATGTTACACATATTTATTTGCAATTGGATGATAAGATTATGATAAATATAATTAATAATTTTCATAGATAGAAATTGATTAAAGAAGAAAAGATATGATTATCATTGAATTTCTTATAAAAATTCCCGATATAAAATACAAAGTTAAGCTCAGATGTAAACATGACAAACACACGCTTGTCATTTATAAATTATTACGTAATAAAAATCTATTATATTTATCATACTTGAAGATATCACATATACCTGATTATGTCAACGTGCTTTTTAATTTAACATTTTTCTCTTCGTGTCACACATATTTACCCGCAATTGAACGATAAGATTACGATACAGTAATTTTTATAGATACACCAGGAATGTTAATCGAGAAAATAAGAAGGATGCGATCGTCGGCGAATTCGCCTTCCGCGAAAATTCCCGATATGGAAATGGCTGAGAGGGATTAAATCGAGGCGCGCTCGGTGAAAATACCGCGTCGTTCGCTCTCCGATAAGATTTGTCGCCGCGCCGAGACGACGGATCTGGTTTACGAGAAAGCTCGTCGCCGAGAGCACGCGATTATTATTAAAACGTGCCGCCGACTCGCGGTAGACTTGCACAGCAATTCCCGAAGGGAACACGCCGGTGTACATGGCTTCTCAGGCTTCTAAATTAAATCGCGCTCCTCTCGCTCTCGTCGTTTTCGCGATCGAAGGGGGATTCTGATCGGCGGCGGGGGGGAGGGAGGTGAGTTGAGAGCGTTCCGGTGTCGCTCGCAATCGGGGGCGTAAAGTGTCCACATAAAGCAACGTCCTCCTCGGTAGGCGCTCGACGCCGAGAAATGACCCAGGTGCGTCGTGAAAACCCATCGGATCCTGGAGAATCTCATTGTTTCGAATATTTATTCTTCCAACTTCGTCTTTCAACGTATTCAGATATTTCTTTTAATTCGAATTTATTTATTTACGGCTACGATTATTAAATTTTAGATGTCACTCAGACTTTCTAATCGACACTTTACGATTCGGTCAGATGTAAATATGTATAAAATAATTCTATTATTGTGTATTGGGTCCCTCCCTAAATTTATATTCGTTAAAATTAAGAATAAATTGTTACTATTACATTTATGACAAAGTTACGTCATCACAGTTATATTTCAATCTTATGAAAATACATATTTGTTTTTCTTGCACGTTTTTTCAGCTCGAAAATTGCTTCTAAATTTCATAAATTTTATATATCCGTCAATATTTAATAAAAATTAAGATAAAATCACACACACAGTTAAGCTTATAATCATTACAATTTAGAGAATGAATAAAGTAGAAATAAATATTAACTCACGCACGTAACGTTGCGTCGATCATTTCAAATCTTCTCCTCCGGCAGTTGACGAGAGTAAAACTTGCAAGTCAAACTTGAGAGATAGCGACGAGAAATAACCAAGGGAGAGTCCCGTCCATCCAAAACTGCGTGTCGTGTTATCTGGAATGTTAAAAGGCCATTTCCTCGGCCTTTTAACTGGGATTTATTCGAATTAAAAGCACACAAAACCGCGTCGCACAATATCGGACATGTTGCATCTGCGTCGCGCTTAAACTAACGCGACCGCCATCTGTGAACGAAAAGAATAATCATTAACGCGATAGTCGGTATGTTTGACAGAGGAAGGAATCTTTTACCTTATCGACACTTGTACCTTTTACCGTCGTTGCTTCTTACCATACTTTGGCGAGCGTAAAGTTGTCCATTCGGATCACAGATCTCATGGCACGAGAATAGCGTTGTTTAGACGAGCAACTTGTTTTCCGAAGCCGAGGAAAAAAGAAGTAGAATTATTTTTGGGAGCAAAAATTCATGACAAGTATCTCTGGCGATTTAATTTCATTGTCGACTTACCGAGCAAAATGAATGAAGCCAATGAATTGCCACCAGGAACAGCATCGCTACTCGAAGAACTCGAAAGTATATATTTGATTAGTGTTTACATGTTGCTCTTTATTTAGTTCTACCTCCTTTCTTCGTATTTTCTTACAATTTTTTTTTCACTTGTTCCCAATGTGTTGTATGATCATATTTTTTCTGGAAAATATCCAAATTAATTTATATCAAAATAAAAATTACTTAAATGATAATCACATATATATACAATATACAATCACATATATCACATATAAATACAATAATTTTACAAACTGCAAGAAAACTATATTGAAAAAAAAACAAGATTATAAAATTAGGAAATTGTAAGTTGAAGAATTTACATTCTTTATATTATCAATCATAATTATATATTATTGTAATTTAATGATTTAAATTTTAAAATAAAACTTAAAGCAGTTTTTTTAATACAGTAAGCTATTAAATAAAGGATCTATTCGTATTGTTAAACAAATACTACTTTTCAATTGTACTACATTTACTTCTTATCCAGAAAAACTTATGGTTTTATTGAGAGACGGCAGAACATTAATTGGATATCTTAAAAGTGTCGATCAATTTGCTAATATAGTACTTCAAAGTACCATTGAAAGAATTCATGTCGGTCAAGAGTATGGTGACATTCCAAGAGGTATTTTCATAGTGAGAGGAGAGAATGTTGTACTTTTAGGAGAAATAGTAAGCGTTTTGTGTGTAGAAAACATTTATAATATTGTTGTTACTTATACTTCTACACGATTCTTAATTAATACTTTTATATTACAGGATATAGAAAAGGAAAAAGTCCTACCCTTAAAAAAAGTGACGGTGGATGAAATTTTGGATGCTCAAAGACGTGAACAAGAATCAAAGCAAGAACAGAAAAAACGAATGAATAAAGCTTTGAAAGAGCGAGGTTTTTCATATATACCTGATTTAAGTCACGATGACATGTATTGATATAGTGTTGTTATACTTTTTTTTGTATCATCTCTAATTATTTCATGTTAATTAAATGTAACTACTACATGAGATTCCAGTATAATGTATTATTTTTTTATCAAATGTAATATTATAATTGTAAAACTTCTGAAAAATTTATCTCAGTTATCTTTATATTTATAAAAATTAAAAAATTACAAAATCTAATTAAGGTGTACACGACCTTATATATAGTATAATCATATATTCGTTTTCAATAATATATTGTTTTAATTATAATTATATAAATATCTCATATACATCACACTGTGTAATTTAATTTTTTTTATAAATAAAATTAATACATTCTGCGTGTGATGTGTAAAATGCACATAGAATTTTCATATATTTATAAATCTTATACATTTTAAATAAGATGCGTAAGATTTATATTGTTAAAAAAATTAATTTGATATCAAAATATAGTTATATATATTAAATCATTTAAAATTACAAAATAAAATTAATTTTAAATAATTGTACATGATGTTTATATTTTTTTTTATCAAATTGTAAAGGAAATAAAATTCTTTTAATGTCTTTCTCTCCTGCATTATGAAATAAAAATACATGAAACGAAAATGAAATTTTTTTTAAATGTCTTGCATTATATACATAATAATAGTAATAATTTAACTTGACACATAAATAGAATAAATAATTCATTTACTGTCAAACACTTAATTTATAGATGTATATTTGAAACTATATATAAAGTCGTATTAATAAACTTAAACTATAATGTGGCAATTGTCTTTCCTCTTCTCAAAGTATACAAAACATTGAAATGTATATTTATAATACTTAACGATATATATTAATAACGAGTCTTGTAATAAATTAAAATGATGTCTCTTGAAAGCTATCCTGCATTTTCACAGAATTCATTTCGTCCGATTCATTTCGCGGTCTATTTTTGAATTCTTCATTTGTTGTGCTTTTGACTGCATCTTTCCTCGCGGATCTTTTAGAATCGTTTCGTTGCAAACTGGTCCCTCGTTTTCTCGGAGGAGAAGATTCCTCTATTTTTTCAGTAGAATTATTCGTACTACCGGATGCTATGCCAGAAGTATCAGACTCTGGCTGATTACCATCCAAACAGCACAATAAACTATCGGACAATGTATCATTGTTTAAGATATTTAAGTCGGATTCTGATTGCTCGAAATCTCCTGTTCGCGAGGTAAAACTAAGATCGACAGGACTGGCAGTTAAGACACTTCTCGACAACAAGTATTCTCTAAAAGTACTTGTTATAGACATCGAACTTTGTTGCGTACAAGCGCAACAATTCGCGACAGATTGAACACAATTGTGCTTCTCGAGAGTGTCTACTTTATTATTTTCTTTATTTTCAACATCCTTTATATGAGGCAGCATATTGTCCATGCTGTTGTATGTCTGAGATTCTTCCAAAATAGAAGCGCAATTTATTGTCCCAACCATATCTAGATTCGGTCCACGTAAATTGCAGCTATTGTTGCCAGTGACGAGGTTGCAAAGATTCGAAGTTGAAACTATCATTACTGGTTTTCTGGAGCGCGGAGTCATCATGGTTTCCTATTACAAATTGCAGAATTAGTAATCTATTGTGAGAAGTGTAAACTTATGTATAATTTAAAATTTATATATTAATAATTTTAAAATTATTTTTAATTATATTACATATTATATTATTATATACATATATTTGTATAATTATTATATATATTAATATATCGGGGTTCAAATATTTACGTACTTGCATGGCTTTTGTCATTTTCGTTGCGCTTTGTGTAATTGGACTCATGCTTTTATCATTGTTAGTTATAGGAGTCAAGATATAATCGTTAGTGACCATGCTTCGTCGTAATAAACTCGACGGCGTTGACGTATGAACAGCATACACATTCCTGAATCTGTTCCTTACAATTGGGGATTGTAAATTGCATGCGTTTTCAATACGCGGCTCAACATTCAGAGTAGTTTCGGATGATTTTATACTCGATGTACAAGTTTTTTTAGAGGGAGTTTTTATGTTTGGTGTTGCAGTTAATGCAAGTATAGATTCCGAGTTTTGTGGAACCAATTTATCATCATTCATTAATGAATTATCATTATTATAATTTACATCTTGAGTAGAACACACATTTGATGGTTCATCGAGTTGTCGTGTTAATTTATCAGTATCAGATAGATTATTGTCACTAGTCATTACATTAATTTCTTGTAAACTTGTACTCCAGTTGAGTTCCACCACACTTAAGCTTTGTTTTGCATCATGTTGCATATTTTTTTCATTCAATTCCTCTCTCGTGTTTATAGATTGATTACAAAGCTTCTTTTTTATTTTACAACTTGTTAAAGTCTCATTTTTAAAGTTATCTACACTACTACTCATGTGTTTGGAATGTAGAAGATCGTTAGTTGTATCACAGTTTTCCGTGCTAAATTCATCGTTTGATTTGCTAAGAAGCATTCTTGCCGGAAGCAACGAGTCTTCTAGTTTCTGTATGATACATGCAAATATTAGACAAGAAGAATAAACATGCTATTGTTAAAAAGACACAACAATAATAATAATAATATACATTAAAGAATTGTTTAGGAAAATACAGATTGTAAAGCAACTCACCGTTGATAATATATTCTCTTCGCTGCTCGATCTAGTGATATTGCATCCGATATTATTGTCAATGCACTTCTTGTGACCTAAGATCTTTTTTTGAAAAATATGTTTCTTGATGGAATCTCCGAGACTCTTGGTTTTGCAGTTCTTTACATGCCTAGGTGTACCTTGTCCATTTTCCTTGTTAAATTGTTTCACAAGTCGCCGTTTTTTGGCCGATTCCGGCATAGCTTGTATATGAGCATAGAGCTGAGCCAAAGCTGCCTGTGTATCTTGTGTAGAATTTGCTTTTGCTGTTAATTTACGATCGACAAAACTGAATACAGTGTGCGCTGTACCAGTTGTATCTGGTACCGACTCGTTCAACTGCAATTATAAATATTTTATCATATTGAATAAGACGACATGGTAAAGTATTACTTTAAATTTGAAATTTACATCGGTCTTTTTAGGGCTCAACAATTTTCTTTCTTGCTCCACCCAGTAGGCTCTTATATCTGTAGCCAATTTCGGTGGAATCTCGAATAATTCCGTACCTTTTCTAATCATAAATGCAACTAGGCACGACAGATTCTGGGAATTGATATGCAAGGCTTCAGGTGACAATTTTCGTGGACATAATAAATGTGGAGTAAAGAGAGTGGCCAATGTATCGCTATTCATTTTGTTACTATGTTCGTAACTTGCTGTCTTATTTAATAAAATAAGAATAGCTTTTAACAAAATTCTATTAGGAGGTGGTAAAAGCAGCAGAAGTAGTTGTAGAGAACTCGATAATCTCGCATCATTTGTCTTTGCATCCAAACTGCATAATTCTGCAAATAATTTGTGTATAAATATAATACATGTAATGCATATAAGCAAAACAATATGTTCCTATATACCAGCTATCTGGCAATGCGCTGGATAATGTAAATCTGTCAGAAGAGGCTCCGACAACTCTGCTAAAAATCCTTTTAACACAGAGGCACAATCGTGTACGCTAAATCGACCATCGTCGAGATCCAAAGGTACACCTTGAGACATAGCTGTTTTTAAATCTTGTTGCCTGGTTAACTTTCCAGTACGTCGAAATATTCCCTCTTGTACAATATCTACAAGATGACATTTATGAGAAGAGAAATACGTTAAAAAATCTATTACATTCTTTATTATTTATACTTTCTTACTTTCTTCTTTAGACAAATAATCTATCAATTGGGTTACGTGACTTATACTATCCTCAGATAATGTAACACCTTCTGTACCCTTTTCCAAGTTTACCAAAGATTTAGGCTTCTTGGTGAAGTTCAGAAGACCCCATTTTTTCAGTCTCGCTTTCTCTGTAATACCATCGCTGCTAAAAAAAAAAAGTTATTAGAACGATATATTTGTAAATTACCACGATTAACGAGGTAATGATCGAGGATTAAAACGATGAAACACGGGGTGAAATACAAATTTAATTCTATTTATTAGAAGCTCGATGTTTCAACGGTACGTCAAAGTTGCGCGGACAGGAATCCGAAACGGAAATACAATCGAGAGATTCGGGGCATAACTTACTCCTCCGTATTAAGATCCAATTCGAAGGATAGGTGCATCTTTACGAGCGTGTGGAATTGTTCGGGATTGACCTTTCGCATTCTAAACGCCAGCTTCCCGTCCACCCCGTCGTTGAAATCTGCCATCGTCGATTAATAGCGGCTCGTATTATGTATACAAAAATTTAAACGCGCTCCTACATGTTGAATCGGACGTCGGCAGTGATGCCACATTTCGGAAACCGCCAACAGTCACGACTCACGGGATATCTAGACGCGAATACGTACTTCGAAAAGCGTCCCATCTAGGGAACTTCGAGCTGTCACTTTCTCTCTTTTCCTCTCAATGTCCGAACGAATCTGCCGATTCTCCTCGTGTTCTTCAGAATTTTTCGCATCGTAAAATGAGATATTTACAAATGTGAGTCTATGGGTTTTCGAGCACTGGGGAGAAAGAGAGCGCGAAATTAAAAAGTGCAAGAACAAGAGCGCAGAAGAACAGATCTCTCTTCCATTCAGTATGAGCGGGAAATTATCTGGGAGTCAATTGTGCATCACATTGTTAAGTGAAAATTACAAAAGTGAACAAATTTACTAGATATTGACTAATAATATTATAAATATTCTAGTACATTTGCTCTTTGTAATTTTCACCAAGCTGTGTGATACACAATCGATACCCCTGCTCCTTGCCACTTTAGATAAAGAAAAAGATAAAGAAGACCTCTCTTCCATCGCGCATAATCGATGGCGTAGAAAGAAAAAAAAAAGAAAAAATTACTACGCCGCACAATATCGTGGCGATGGGAGACACCTGTGACCGCCGCGGGATGTCTGTAAACGTGGAAGGGATAACATGGCTACTGCCTGGTGACGTTCCGTTCGGCCGTCGCGGTATCAGATGCTCCGAAAAACATCTGGCG